GACCCTAATCCAACATGACTGGTGTCCTTGTAAAAAGAGAAAATTGGGACAGAGAGACAGACAAGAAGAACACACAGACAGAAGGCAAGCCAAGGAATAGGAAACATTTTCAGATAATCATCAGAAGGTATACAAGCATGGGTCAGATTTTCTTCTCATAACCATCAGAAGGAATAACCCTGACAACACGTTGACCTTGGACACTAGTCTCCAGAACTGTGAAGCAATACACTTCTATTGTTTAAGCCACCCAGTTTATGGAAACACTAATGAACTAATTTATCATGATATATATATATATATATATATATATATATATATATATATATATATATATATATTGTGTGTGTGTGTGTGTGTTTGTTTAGTTTTTGATTTTGTTTTCACTCCTAGTGTTCAAGGAAATCTCTGTGAAACACTAGCTGATACAAGTCAACAGGGCAGAAACTCCAGTGACTACACATAACAAGGAGGTTTTTTCAAGTTTGGATAATTCACAAAACAAACAACCAATCTTATAGTCTTCAATAATCAAGAATATCAAACTCTGGGGAGAAAGGAGAATCTAATTTCCAGAGTTACCACATTATAATAAGTAAATTTCCAATTATTTTATAAAAAATCATAAAGCATACAAAGAAATAAGAAATTATAACACATTAAAAAAATGACAAACCCATCACATAGGGAATCCCAGATATTGGACTTATTAGTAAAATACTTTAAATCAACTGTCTTAAATATGTTCAGAGACATAACAGAAATCCTGGACAAAGTACTAAAGAAAATTGTACAATAACAAATAAAAAAGGAGAATATCAATAAGGAGATAATTTATACCACTTACCATCAGCTAACATTCTTTATTAATTGTATATTTATTGTGCTTATTGACTATTACCTGTTTCGCTCTGCTAGAACATAATCTCTATGAGGGCAGGATATTTCTGTTTTCATTATCAGCCCGTAGTCACTGCCTGACAGATAGTAGACTGTCATCATTTGTTAACTGAATGAAAGTAAAAATAAGAGAACTCTTCCACATTCAACAACCTATTACCTATAATTCTGTGATTAAAAAAACAAAACAAAAAACAAAAACATGAAAGATGATGTGAGGACAGTGAATACAATCCAGAGTGGGTATTTATGAAGTAGAAGTTTCTGAATGTGATGACTCAGGGAGAAAAGTTGCTGGTGACATAGTTTGACGAACAGTCTGTTACTCTGAGCATACACTATACACCCAATCGCTTCTCTCATGGACAAAGAATACATAATGGCATGATTTATATTAAGGAAGGAATCTATACAGTGTAGGACGTGCTAATTCAGTGAATCCCTAAATATTAGTGGTGTCATATTTTCTAGGTCTGAAAAATGTTTTAAGACATTTTGGCATTCTGCTTTTTAAATCAAAATTTAAATTAAGTTATAAATATTTATAGATTTCAAATTTCAACATGATAGTGTATTTGCTTAAAATATTAAATTTCTCTCTCATCTCTCTTTTTCAATTTTTGTCAATCAATGAACCACAAGCTATACTGACTTTACAATTGTAAGAGCATTCCCTAGCTTATATTTTTCTTTCAAAAACAATCTTTACTTGAATATTTTATATAATTTATAATTCGTATAAAAAATTATGAAATGGCTTAAGTTTTAGTAAAATTTTAACAAAATAGCACATGTGGTATTAAATACAGGCATATAGTGTGAAGGTAAACATCTTTCTTGAGACTACCTGAATTTTCATCCTATGGTAATCTGACTTACCCAATTGTTTTTTAAAAAGCATATATCTACAAGAAAACCCTACAGCTAACATTCTACTTAATAGTGAGAAACTTAAAGCTTTCCTTTAGGATGTTTCCTCTCACCACAGCATTAAAGTAAAAGTCCTTGCTAATGCAGTAAGGCAACAACAACAGCTAAAAGTAAGTACAAGTTATATAGGTTGGGGAGAAAACAGAAAATGGTCCTGTCCTCAGATGGCATGATCATCTATGCAGAAAACAGAAAAACAAATCAACCAAAAATAAAATAAAACAAAATGCAGAAACCCCTGCAACTAATAACAAAATTATAGGGTACAAAGTAAGTATCCAGAAGCCAATTGCTTTACTATGTAACAATAAGAAACAAGTGGAATTTGAAATTAAAACACAATAACATATATTAGCACCCCAAAAATGAAATACTTAGGTATGTAACTAGCTAAATATGTAAAATATCTATTTAGAAAATTACAAAATTTTGATGAATGAAATCAAAGAACAACTAGGTAAATGGAGAGATAGCCAATAATCAGGAAGAGGAAGATTCAATATTGTCAAGATGACAGTTTTCTCTAACTTGATCTAAAGATACAATGTAACTGCAAACAAAATTCCCACAAGTTATTTTATAGATATTAACAAAATTCTAAGGTTTATACAGAGAAGCAAAAGATTCAGAAGAGCAAATACAATATTAAAGGAGAAATACAAGTTGGAGGACTGATGCTACCTAACGTTAAGAATTACTGTAAAACTCCACACTGTTTTCTACAATTAAAAATGGAACTGCCTTATGACCCAGCAATTCCATTTCTGGGAACTTACCTGAAGAAAGCTGAAACACAAATTATAAGAAAGATTATATTCACCCTATGTTCGTTGCAGCATCATGTGCAATAGTCAAGATTTAGAAACAGCCCAAGTGTCCATCAGTAAATGAGTGCATTTGCACAATGGAATACCACTTGGCCATAAAAGAAAGGAAATCCTACCCTTTGGGACAGCATGGATGGACCTAGAGAGCACAGGAAGTAAGCCAGTCTCAGAAATACAAGCACCGTATGATTTTCTCATATGTGGAATCCAATGAACACAATGAACTAACAAGCAAAACAGACAGACTCACAGAAGAGAACAGGATGACAGTTGTGGAAGGGAGTTTAGGGGGTTCTGGGGGTTATGAGGAGGGATTGAGCAAAACATAAATAAATAATAAAACAGCTATGACCATACACACACAAAAAAAATAATTACTATAAAACTATGGTAATGAAGACAATGCAGTATCTGAGAAATAATAAACAAATAAATCAATGGAACAGAATAGAGGGCCCAGAAACAGACCCTTATTAATATGTCAACTGATCTTTGACAAAGAAGCAAAGGCAATACAAGAGAGCAAAGACGATCTCTTCAACAAATGATGCTGGAATAGCTGGACATCTACATGTAAAGAAAATGAATCTAGACACATACGCTTCACAAATAGATCATAAATCTAAATGTAAACATAACCTATACAACTTCTAGAAGATAACATAAGTGGAAATCCAGATGACATAAGTAAAATTATGCTATTTTAAATAGAACACCAAAGGTACAATCCATGACATAAATATTTAGTAAGCTTGAGTTCACTGCAATTAAATAGTTCTGATCTGTGAAAGGAAATATTAAGAGAATTAGCAGACAAGACACAGACTATGGGAAAATATTTGCAAAAGACACATCTGATAAATGACTGTTACCCAAATTATACAAAGAAGTTTTAGAATATTAATAACAACAAAAACAGACAACCTGATTCATAAAATGGGCCAAAGATCTTAACAGCCACTTCATCCAATAATATATACTGATAGTAAATAAGCACTTGAAAAGATGTTTCACATCATATGTAAACAGGGAAATTCAAATTAAAACGACAGTGAGACACAACTATTAGAATGGCAAAAATCTAGAACAATGACCACACCAAATGTTGGTGAGTGTGCAGAGCAACCAGAAGTCTCATTCATTGCTGGAGGAAATAAAATGACACGGCCACTTGGGGTGACAGTTTGGCAGTTTCTTACACAACTAAACCTATCACAAGATCCAATAATTGTGTTTCATAGGATTTACCCAAAGAGATTGACACCTATGTCCATACAACATACTGCACACTTGTGTTTATAGCTGCTTTAGTAGTAATTGTCAAAACTTGCAAGCAACCAAGATGTTCTTCAGTAGTGAATGAATCAGTAGACTGTGCTACATCCTGGCATGGAAGAAACTGAAATGCATATTACTACTAAGTGAAAGAAGCCAGTCTGACAGGAGTGCATACTGCATGATTCCAATGACATGACGTTCTGGAAAAAGCAAAACTATGGAAACTGTAAAAAGTTCTTTGGTTGCTGGGCTAGGGGTAGTTACGGCAGGAGGGCAGTGGTCGAGAAGAACACAGGTAGAACAGAGAGGACTTGTAGGGCAGTGAACATACTCTGTCTGATCTTTTTAATGATGAATATGTACATTTGTCCAAACCCAAAGCATGTATACTTAGAGTGAACCCTAACGTAAACTATAAACTTTGGGTAGTTAATATGTGTCACTGTAGGATTGTGAAACACACACACACACACACACACACACACACACACACACACCACGTGAGTAATGCTGATAATAGGAGATACTATGCATGTACATGTGTATGTGGGAACAGGGAGCATGTGGGGAATCTCTGTACCTCCCTCTCAGTTTTATTGTAAACCTCAAGTGGCTCTAAAAAAGAAAGTCTTGCTGAAACCGGTTTGGCTCAGTGGTAGAGCATCGGTCTGCAGACTGAAAGGTCCCAGGTTCAATTCTCGTCTAGGGCATGTACGTTGGTTGTGGGCACATCCTCGGTAAGGAGTGTGCAAGAGGCAGCTGGTTGATGTTTTTCTATCATCGACGTTTCTAGCTCTCTATCTCTCCCTTCCTCTCTGTCAAAGATCAATAAAATATAAAAAAATTTAAGAACAAAAAAAACTTAATTAAAAAAATAAAGTCTTAAATAAAGAGCACTATTTTATAAAATCCATTTATTTAACAAATATTTTTGAGACTATTATTTTACGGGCATTCTTCAGGTGCCAGATACACAGGAGTGGCCAAGGTAGATGTGCCAGTCAGGACATCTTCGGGGCATCTGACAAAACATCTGACTGAAAAGTGGCTTAAAGATACAGAGCAGTGCTCGCTTCATCAGCACACGTACTAAGCTTGGAACGATACAGAGAAGATTAGCATGGCCCCTGCACAAGGATGACATGCAAATTCATGAAGCGTTCCATTTTTTTTTTTTTAAGATAAAAGAGTAATTTTTCTCACATAAGAGAAATCCTGAGATGGATGATTCAAGGATCCATTCAACACTGTAAGCCAATCGTTATGGGCCCTGGCTCCCTCCACCTTTCTTCTCTGCTCTCCGCTGGGGTTGGCATCCCTTCCTTCATCATTAAGAAGTCTGCAGCAGCTCTGAGAGTTCTGCCCTCCGAGCAAACATGACAAAAATATGAAAGAGGACAGGAGTTTTCCTCCTGGTGGCAAGGGTGGCCACGTGCCCTCGTTTGCCTGTGACAACCACAATTCTGCCCTCTTTTACTTCTAAAGCGTCCTGGATTCGGGAAAAAAAGGTTATGTCATTGCTCTGGTAATCCAGCGATATTCCTTTTTTTTTTTTTTTTTTTTTTAAGTAAGAAAAGTACTTCCAAGAAAATCTTTCAGAAACTGTCCTGAAGGGCCTTAGTGGTCTGGTTGAAGTCAGGGAAGTTGGGCTAGCTGAGCAGATGACATTTTATGCCTTCACAGGTGGTGGCTTCTGCTGGCCAAGAAGGAGAAGAGAACAGCTTCTTTGGTGACCAATCAGGAGTGTCGGTCACAAGTGACCAGTTTGCATTTTCATAGAAGTAGCTAGGATGGTTCCTCGCTTCTAGCATATAGGAATAAAAATGTCCTGCCAAGCCCCACAGGCACTTTCTATGTGGCTCATGCTAATGTCTCCTTAAGGGTGTCACACATGTTCTCAGGAGCAAGCCTACTGCATTGCTTCCTGTTTCTAGGCATTGCTATATTCCTATGGGCATTTTCTGGGCACAGTGGCATGGCCATGGCTTTGCCTAGCACCATGTTTTCTACTGAAACTGCCCCCCCCTGCTCTACATTGTTGCCTGGGCTCTGCTCAAAGCTGTCCAGAGGTCTGGGGCAAAAGAGGGGACAATGCCACTCTTCATATGCTGAGCTGTTAGCAAGTCTAAAGCATTGTTGTTAGTGTCCTCAGAGCTGACCAAGTGTTTAGTCAACTAGAGCCTGAGGTGGACATGAAACTGGGTTCACCAGTATTCACATCTGCTTCATTTCCAGGCACAAATGCCCTGACAGAGAAATCTTGCTTTGATTAGCCTTGACCAGTGAAGTGAGAGGAGAAATGATGTGCATCCCTCACAGATTAAAGCATTTAAGGATTGCACACGGGTATGCCACTCTCTTCCTTTTGGGCAATGTTGTGCAGAATGTCCTGATACTGAGGTGATATAACATAGACATAGCCTAGAAGGCTGAGCACATACATGGAGGCCCACTGCCCAGGAATGACTCCTGGAGCTACAGCCTATGTTACATGGAGGGCAATAGTGGTTTTTTGAGATCTTATTTGTTACCACAGTATAGCTTAATCTATTCGGACTGAGATCTACTTTTGTGAAAAGTCTGTGTCGCCTGTGGAATTCATGTGTAAATTCATTGGGAATTGGCCTGGGAAGAAGGAAGTTTGTGTCTTCCTTCTGACAATGAAGACATTCCTACTGGGTCAAGATCCTTTTACCATTCTTCCTTTAGAAATTCTTTCTCAAGAGTCTGCTCAATCCTCAAACAATTGGCTTTATGGAGGGTGATGGGACTCTTCATTAGCATTGCCCAGCTATCTTTAAATGCATAATGTAGATTCTAGTTAGTGTTTCCCTAATAGAGAAATAAAGTGAGTGTACATGAAAATGCTCCATAAGCAGAATGGACACGGTATGCCTGAGAGGGTGAGATCAGGAACAAGGCTGAGGTGATGAGGGGAAGAACGCATCACATGAGGAGTATGGTGGGGTCTGGAGGATGTATAGTTTTCATGAGAGAAGGACACAGAAGGGAGGAAAAGCAAGAGGGGAACATCTTTGTGAGGTAAATAGCACTTGGAAAGGATGGAACTCAGAAAAGATAAAGGGAAGAACGAAATACTTAGAATAAGGCTGTCCAATAGTGGGCCATATTTGTTAAGTCAGTTGAGATGCATGGGATAGAAGCTCACTCTGAAGGACCGTATACAAACAACAGGAGTCTGTTAGTTTATAAAGATGAGAAGTCCAGATCCAGCCTTATGGTTCAGGGGCCCCAGTGATGCCTTTGGATTTGATGCCTTTCTCTCTAGCATTCAAGTCTTTGATGGATTCATGCAGGCTCTCTCTATGCAACGAAGAGGAGGGGAGGAAAGGAGAAGGGAGGGGAGGAAAAGAGATATCACACATATTTCTCAAAAGTTTTAGTAAAATAGTCTGCCATGGGTTGCTCCAAAACAATCTTTATGGTGGCCAGGGGTGTAATACAAGAGGAGTTCAGTCCCTGTTCCCAGAGCCACAGATTTGAATGAGTCCCATCTGAACCTCAAGTGCTGACAGTAGAGTGTGGAGATCCCAAGGTGAAGATGTGAGGCTATAGCAAGAAGAGGGAATGGGTGCTGGGTAGGCAGAAATGATAATCAGCCTTAGAATGTTCCTCCTAGGAGGGTCCTTAGGGGTAATTTGGTGGAAATCTTTTATCACGGATAAGAAAATTAAGTCCTAGAAAGACAAGCCCACATGAAAGTACATTGGAAACCTTATAATTAAAAAATTATCATTTAATAAAAAAAATGTCCATCTTAGCAATGAATCATTAAAAATACTTAATATCATTAAATGTTTTAATTCAAAATATAAACATACATTCAATTACTTGCCAATCTTCTGATGCAGGATCAAGGTATTTCTCATGATTAATACATCACCTGATTGGCCTCCCTGTCATGATTGTGGAAAAATAAATTAACTATAATAAAATTCACTCTTGTGGTATTTAAAGTGAAATGAAAACTTAAGGTAGTTGCAGTTATCTAAGTACAATATTTTCATAGTATTTATTATTTCCCTCCAAATTTGCTATTGTCTTGCCCACAACTAACAGTGACTAAGTTTTACTAAGTATTTTTGAAGTATTCAAATTGATTTTTTTTAATAGCATCTCTCTCTTTCTCTTTCCACTTGTTTCACAGGCTTATCTAACTTTTAATTGCATTAAGTAATTATGTGTAGAGGGCGCATTGGGAATGCACATGGATGACCTTTAAATTAATGTCAGCTGGGTCCAAGGTGACTAGCATGGCCGTCCCCTGGAAACAGCTTCCCAAAATGTTGGAGATTGTTATCAGTACTGATTCCTTATCTTTATCCATGTGCTTGGAATGAGAAACGAATAGGACCTTGACTTACCCAGGCCATGATATGCTAAGTCCCAGGAATGAGGGAATGAATAGGACCTGGGCACATCCAAAATTTCTTTGACCTTAAACCCCCCTCTGGAAATCAATAAATTTGCTGTGTTGTCTGTGGCGGGTGTTGACTGTCCCTCCATCAAAGTGACAGCATCCACCCGGCACCCAGCTTAATGAATCTATTTTTGCCTCTTGTCTCTTTCTTTTATTTCTTAATCCCCAGCTTCTCCACTCAGGAACCTGTCCTTCTCCTTTTCCATGCAGGACGTGGAAAAAGGAGAAGCACCCCACCACAATTATGGGTCTATGTACATATCACTAGCATAAATAGATTAGAATTAAAAATAGCCAAAAATTCAAGTAGGTGGGATGTTCTAGAGATTATGCTATTATCTGTGAGTGTTCAATGAACTAGGCGTAGGGGTGTCGAACTCAATCAGAGAAGGGGCCAAAATCTAAAATCCAGCCTAAATCGCAGGCCGAATGGTTTACTGAACAGTCATAAACTGTCATTGTGATGGAAACGCAGCAGAGTGCAGTGATGACAGCGCGGTGCGGGCCACATTGCAAGGCCTGGCGGGACGGATTTGGCCCGCGGGCCTTGTGTTTGACACATGTGAACTAGGGCATCAGACAGTACCTTGAAAACAGAACATATATTTTCTTGTTGGTTTATATCTTTGCTGGTTAGAAAATGATTGGTGGCCAGTTAAGTGAAATCATAGCACCTATCCTATGAAATAAGAGACCACTTATGACTCAAAATCTGGGACTGTATACATAGAAAGCAACTCCAACTTAATTATTCTCAGATCTCCTTAGATATCTAGCTTGTAGATTTATCTTCATTCTTCTTACCACTATATTGCTCAAGGCCCATAATGGCAAGTTTAAATACCACAAGATTAAAGATAAGATGCTATAATTCAATTCTTCACACAAATATCCTCATGCCTCTGATCTGCCCACCCTCCCTTCTTCAGTCCATTCTATTCATAGACACAGTATAGCAACATGCCTAAGACAAATGGAGGCAGCCTTAGCCGCACTTTCTGCTTTCTATGTTTGTAGCATTTAACAAGTCACCTAATTGAGCCATTGTGCCAGGCCTGTATAGGAAGTTCCTCAAAAATTGCAAAGAAAGTGGAGAGCAGAAGAAAACGTGTATGAACCCACATCTGAAATTTCAGGAGACAACTGAATTGGAGGGTCAAGTGCATCTTTCCTCTAAATTTCTTGGAACAAAATGTCAAAGAGACAAACCATTTTGGATAAATATGTCCTCATCCTGAGAAAATTTCAAATTCATACAAACATGCAGTCCTTTCCATATTCAGATATAATACATTCAGATATAATAGACAGAAAAGATAAATGTCTCTTTTCAAAAACTTACTCCGTGCTAGATCCTCTAGTGAATACCAAGGCTGTGCGATCAAAGATGGAAAATCAGAGGGAAGCCACAGGCTGCAGGCACTGCCCTCAAGGTTCAGAATCCACTGAGTGCTATCTGCACAAGTGAGTATGCTGTAAATGGGGCATGTAGCACATTTTGGACTGAGGGAGCAATTAGACTGGTGTAGCAGAGTAAACTAACTCTGGGAAAGGCTAAAAGTCTTTTGAAAAGATTAACTTTTATATATCTTGAAGGAAATTGCTTATTTTCCAGATCAGTAAGAAAAAGGAAAACGGGAAACCTTGGTAGACTCAGGTAGTGAAAGATCTGATAGGAGTATGTGCCTGGAACCCAGAACCAGTTACAGAGGCTGAGCTAGTGGCCTGCATCCCACCCTCCCAGTCTTCTTTGGACCCACAGTGCATCCTGGCTGCCTGACCCCTCTTCCTTTTCCTAGGCATGTCCATAGCTGACAAGCTGGTCTTTAAGGGAATGTACCTCAGAGTAATTACCTTATTTATAGTCTCTTTTTTTTTTAATCACCTGCCACTTCCACAGTAAGACAGCAACTTCATGAAGGCAGGACGGGGGTCTAGATTGCCACCTGCTACATCTCAGTGCTTAAATCCATGCCCAATACCCAGATAGAGCTTATAAGCACTTATGAAAGACCCAATAACTGAAACTGTCATGACAGGGAATAGGCAGTCTTCTAAAAGCTCTCTCATTAAACAAGGCATCAGGTCTAAAAGGCATATGCATTGCTTACCAATAATTATGATTCAAGGCAATCGTGCATTTCTTGGCGTTTTTCTCCCATTCATCAAACAAAACCTTAAGACACGTGAGGAACATCCCAGGTAACCACAGAAGGCTAAAGTAGGACATATCTACATTGCAGTCAGCAATGTAGCAATGTTCGGCTCAGTTCTTCATAGCTTTAATCTTGCTGGTTTTAGTATGAAATGAAGAAAGCATTCATGTCAATCTTGAGTTAAAAAGCATGAACTAACCAATCTTTGTATGTCAGGTCAGAGCATTTTTTGTCTTTGCCCACATATATATCCCAGACTTAGTTCAGGAACTTAGCTGCTCCAGGGACCCATTTAAAAATCATTACCAATCGACAGAGACATCAGGGTCCGCTTTGAAAACTTGCCCTTCATGATCCTAACTCCCTAATGTTAGTGATTATGGCATGGATGAAAAGACACTGGTCTGTCATCCTTTCTGGCTGTCATTAGAAAATGCCTAAGACACTACTCTCAGAGAAGTGGAGTACTTTGGAGGACAAAGAGTTAATGGCAACTTGGGCTTGTCTGGCTCTGTGGACTCGCTGGGGGCTGGAGAGGATAAGGAGAGTCCTAGGTAATGGGGCAACAGAAGAGAGGACTATGCCAGCGATCTCTTGGCTCATCAGACAATGCAGAGACACTAAAAATGACAGAATTGTTTTGGCTTAGGAGCTGGAGGAGATCTGCCAAGTTCTGGAGACATTCTGAGATCCCTGCATGCCGCTGGGCAGCCAGCAGAGCCACAGCTGACCTTTCTGGGCACAGTTCCTATCCTCATTAAATTGAAAGGGGGAATAAACGACCCCCTTGGCTAGCAAACACGAAGGCCCTTTTTTCCTACAAATGAAGAACAAACACGGATAGGAGATAAAAGAAGATGAACACTAACTAGTCTCACAAAGGCAATATAGTTGCTAGCACTTTGGCCCAAGGCAATTTATCGTTAATTATTCATGCAGATACGGAAAAGACCAGTCAAAAAATCCGATGTTTGCAGAACATGTTCAAAATATGGATCTAAAGCGAACAACTGTTGATTACTGATTGGCTTGTTTTCTAGTCACATTTGACGCCCCAGCATTACAAACCACGAAGAAAAAGGGATGTAGCAATATTATGAACATTTGGGTGATGTTCCACCCCATTAGAATTCAATATGAAACATACACACAAAAAAAGGAAACAGGGAAAAATAGACAAGAGGGAAAGGCTTACTTGCCCATATACAGTGTGCTCCACTCAGTTTTGTTTGATATATTCCACAGCTTTGTTAAAATATTTGTGTAATTAGCCAAAGCCTGTTTGGCTCAGTGGTAGAGCATCGGTCTGCGGACTGAAAGGTCCCAGGTTCGATTCTGGGCAAGGGCATGTACATTGGTTGTGGGCATATCCCTGGTAGAGAGTGTGCAAGAGGCAGCTGATGGATGTTTCTCTCTCATCGACGTTTCTAGCTCTCTATCTATCTCCTTTCCTCTCTGTAAAAAAATCAATAAAATATATTTTTTAAAAATTTGTGTAGTTGAGTGCATTTTTTTCACTTCCTTAGGAGTGTGACACTGTGAATGCATAATAAGCATCTAGATATGTCAGTGAACAAATCTTTGTAGCAATACAGAAGAAAATATGGGTAGGTAGAAATCATGGCATTTATAAACAGCCAGGTGAAAATCATCATTATTTTATCTGGGTAGGGGTGGAAAGTTTTGAATGAAGATTTGCTGATTCAATACATTCTGATATTTTTATTGATAACAACATTTCTCTCCCATATCAATGTTTGGGACCACATTTTGGGGGGCGGGCAGATTCATGATGCAGTTTTGTATCTGACTGAATAACTTTGTGTATCCCTAAGTATACAAGGAAAATGTATTTTGTTTTGAAAATGTATAGAACTTGAGATACTAATTTCCTAAAATATTTATTTTTATTTATTTTTAATATATTTTATTGATTTTTTTACAGAGAGGAAGAGAGAGGGATAGAGAGTTAAAAACATCAATGAGAGAGAATCATTGATCAGCTGCCTCCTCCCCATCCCCCACTTGGGATGTGCCAGCAACCAAGGTACATGCCCTTGACCGGAATCGAACCTGGGATTTTTCAGTCTGCAGGCCAATGCCCTATCCACTGATCAAACTGGTTTCGGCTAATTTCCTAGAACATTTAAAGCTAAGGCCAGTAATCATGGAGTGTGGACATTCATGTCTGTGTGGCATCTACAGCTCAGAAAGAGAGGAACTCAGCAGAGGCATTTTAATCTGTTGCTTTGCTTAGATTCTCACCCAACTCTGACGTGTCATTCCTCCACACAGTCACCTGAGTGAGCTTTGTAACACCCTCTGATCACATCCTACTTATATCCACAGATGCTGTTCAGACTTTCAAAAAAAGAAGTACAAATTTCACAATGTAGTTTCCAAGACCGTTCACAATACAACTCTGGCCTACTCTTCAGCCATGTTTGTGCAGCTTCTCAGGTGGTTTGTGTTTCCTCCATCCTACCCAGGCACACAAATAATTAAAAAGCTGTTTGAGCACCTGCCGTATCCAGTCCAAGATGTAGAAGCTGAGGGTATCATGGTGCATAACAGATACATTTCTACATAGAGACAAGTTTAGAGGCTCTACGATGGTAGGAGTTATGTGCGATGCTGTAGAAGCAATAGACTTGACTGCGTGGAATGGTCACAGCTCGCTTGCATGGAAAATTAATGTCTGAGCTGACACCCAAAGGATAGAAAGGAGTCTGTTAGCCAAATAGTGTATTACCCAGTACTCTAGAAGAGGGAAGAGTTTTGCCAATGCCCTGCAAAGGGGCAATGTTTAAAGAGTTGGGAGAATTTGAGGACCACGCTGCAGAGTGAAGTATTTGCAATTGCCACAGCGTGCCCTGCTTCTTCACTCCTCTGTTCCTATCTCCAGGGCTGGAAGCTTCTCCAGCGGCTTCTTCTCATTATCTGCCTGATGAGTTCTAAGCGCCCTTGTTTCCCCTCCTCTGGGGAGTCTTCCCCAACCACAGCATCACGGCCCTAGAGGAACTTCCACAGTACTGGCATTGTGCCCTGGGGCCTCTATTTTGTATTGTGTCAGGATGCTTCACAGTCATTGACTATTTTCTGATATCTTCCTTCAGGTAAGCTTTGAGGGTAAGATTTTGCCCTAATCCTGTTTTACCAGTTCTGCAAAGAACAAAGCACACCACTGATACTCAGGTTTTTGGAGTGAAAGGGAGCTGAGATAGTTTAAAATGTCTTGCATTCTTGTGCCCATCTGCAAATGTTGGTCTGGGGTGTAAGACAGGCAATCTTCCCCAGACATGTATGGGGAGATGAAATTAGTTCAGAGCTTCCCAGTGCACGCGTGGGATCTTTATCTCCCCAGATAACACAGAAGCCAGAGTGACAGAACCACAACCCAGCCTGTCTTTAAAAGGCCTACACAGACCAAGCAGTCATCTGGGGAGAATAATTAGTTCAATTGGAATGGAGACAAAGTAGAAAGAAATGCAAATATTTTATCTCTTTTGAGTGAGAAGATACAATTCTCTTTAATGTGCAAAGCATGTTTTAAGGAATCTTTGGAGACCTGGCCCTTCAGAAAAGAAACACAAAGCAGGATACCAGCGGAGAGTTCCTTTTCTTTGTAGTGTCTTCTTTTAGAAATAAATTTTATTTTCAAATGAAAGGAGAACATAAATTGTAGAAATGCCAAACTCTCAAAGAGATATAAATGCCCTACATGGCACCAACCACTTTTTGAGCATTTCTTAGACTGACATAACCCTACCTTCCACGGTTGCTCTCTTGGGCTGAATGGTGATGGCTCCTTCTGCGATGTCTTCGTGTTGGTACAGTGGGTTTATTTTGGATCCCCAGCTGTCTGAGCCCACCCAAAGAAAGTGGCCCACTTGGTCAGCTCTTTTGGCTGCTGCAAGGATCTGCCTGCAGAAAGAAATGAGAAGAAGTGTATTAGGATAAAGAACAGCTATTGAATACAAGCAAATTAGGGATCAAGCAGAAGAAAAGGAAGCTACCATTTCACAAAGAAATAACTGATGCCCAAAATGTAAGTGAAAGGATTTATAGCTTTAATATATAAAGAGACTTTCTAAACCAATAAGAAAAACTATCAAAATGGCTTGAGGAAAATAGAGCAAAATAGTTTAGAGGAATGAGAAAGAAGATCAATGTTTTACACCAAAATTATTTCAGTCGTATTTTAAAAAATACATTCATTTATTATTTTTATTAAAAAATGACACACAATCAATTGTTTATACTTGATGTAGTGCATCACTTCTACTGATATACTGTCAAAACTCTAGGTTCATTAAAGAGAACCAGAATGCAAAGCAACAGGGAACTGGTTACATAAATACCGCACATCCAAAAGATGGACGGAAAGCAATTAAAAATATACTCCATGTAATTTTCACAAGGCATTGTTAAATAAAAAAAAAGTCAAATAAAAAGCTACAAAAAAACTGTTCAATTCTCATGTGATGAAAACTTACCAAAATTTGCCTTTACTTCTGTATGTACACAGTTAAAACTATAGGGTTAGAATATAAGAGCACAGAAAAATATGGATGTCAAAGGCAGGAGATAGAGGATGGAAGAAATGGTAAGTATTATTGATATTTCAGCTTAAGTAATAAATTGAAATATATATAAAAATATGAATAATATACAATCTGTTGTTAACAAAAACCATTCACCGCTGGTAATTCTGAAGTGAATAAAAAGGGGGGCGGGGAATGAAACAAGGAAATAAAGATAAAACTGACATAAATACAAAAAATGGACATTCACCCTAACGTATTTAAGGAAGAGTGTGGGTTATTTGTTAAGATGAGTAGGATTAAACCATTTTAAAATATTTGTGGTACAAAAAGTGAAATGTCAATTGCTAAAAGGAAAATATAAAATTCATTGTGATCTTGATTCTGTTAGGGAAAACTCATACATGTTTAGAAAAAAAATATTACAAACCTCAGTCCAGAATTTTTTAGTGGTTATCTCTGAGTAATGAGATTTCAAGTTTTTTTTTTTAAATATAATTTATTGATATTTTTTACAGTGAGAAAGGAACAAACATTGATGAGAAAGAAACATCAATCAGCTGCCTCCTGCATACTCCCTACTGGGGATGTGCCCATAATTAAAGTACATGCCCTTGACCTGAATTGAACCTGGGACCCTTGAGTCCTCAGGCCAATGCTCTATCCACTGAGCCAAACCGGTTAGGATGAGATTTCAAGTTTTATAGGGATTACATAAAATCATAGTTTGTGATTATTCTCTCTCACCTTTGATTTTTCTAGATAAGCAAGAGGCAAAGTAAACTTAAGAGTTCCTTTTACTAAACAGCAACAGCGAAAACTTCTCCACATTTTTCAGTGGACTTAAAGTAGCTATGTATTGCTTTATAATCAGAAGAAAGTGTTCCAGAAAAGAATCCAGTCTTGTCTAAAATCCAAATTATTAGTATGCATGACTGATTTAGCACCTATCTCTGTTTCAAAATCTAGATATTAATATCTTCTCACTGCTATTCTCCAACAAAGTATTTCAAGTTAATGTTCTAAGAAATCTCAAAATTTCCAATCTATAGTGTAAATTTCCTGAAAACAGAAATAACATAACACTGTAGGTCATTTATACTCTCAGACATCAGTGTGCTTAAGATAATGTTCTGGGAGACACATATATGCACGGAATTCTATTACTGTGCTCAAGAGCCATTACTGCTATCATTACTATAAATCACAATATAAAATAAACACGCAAACAAGCCACAACACACAAAAAATAGCACAGTTATTAAGAGGATTATATACATTTTTATAGCCCAAATTAAAACCTCACATTACCTGAAGATCAGGAGTATTAAAACTAATTTATCACCATTGCTATTTGCAGTAAAATTTTTATGTGCTATAATAATATATGATGAATTCTCTCTTTCTCTCTCTCTCTCTCATCTCTCTTCCTCTTTCCTCTCTCTCTAAAATCAATAAAAAATATATACTTGTGTGAGGATTAAAATAAAAGTAGAAATATACACAAAGCCACATCTTATCAACATATTACATATTTTAAAATGTATAAAATGGGTATGAAAAAAAAAGATATATGAGATGATTACGAAAGGCATCAATGAAGTGACAAAACCTGGAGCAAAAAGACAGAGTAATATTATGAAATAAAAATTCTCTGAAATAACTAAGTCACAAAGTATGAAAGAAAATGCCCTAAGAGCAAAAAAGTCAGCATTTTATAAGGAGAGAAATAAGGGGTGATCAGAAACAGTGCCCATAAAGAAGAGACTATTTGAAGTAAACCTTGAAGAACAGACACACTTGCAACAGGAAGAGAAAGAGAGAAGAAACACCGTGAACAAAAGTCATGATGAAGGAGAGACCAGGAGATGTTGGAGAACCAGAGTCATGCCTTTTGGGAGGAGAACTGGGAGAGTGGAGAGGAGTTATAACTATTAAAATAGAACCACTTGTGAAGACATCATGAGGTCAGAAAGGCGAGCCTGTATTTAAATGATTAAATCGTGGGCATTTGACTAGGCATTTTATTCACCCATTGAATGCCATATATTAAGAATACTAGAGGCCGGGTGCACAAAATTTACGCAAGGGGCTCAGCCCTCACAGCCCCAGCTTCGTCCGGAAGGTCGTCCAGATGGTTGTCCAGATGACTGCTCTACTGTTTGTTAGTTCTAATTAGCATATTAGCTCTTTATTTTAGATTCTATTTATATAGGATCCTATGTACTGAGCACTGTAATAGGGCCTGAGGACACCCAGCCCCTCTCCACCCCTCCCCTCTGGCAAACATCAGTCTGCTCTCAGCATCTCCTTTGCTTGTTTGCTTTTTGGTCTTTAGATTGTACACATAAGTAAAATCATATGACCTTTGTTTTTCTCTGCCTAACATTTCACCCTCTAGGTCCATCCATGCTGTGATACAAGTTAAGATTTCATTCTTCTTTGTGGCCATTACATACATGTACCACAGCTTTTCTGGCAACTTGAACTTAATATAAAATAGTACTGACTGTAAACTATAATTGAAAAATAAAAATGTAAAGCCTCAGATTAAAAATAAAAATAGCAGGTGGAAGAGAACGTGCAGAGACCTGGGAGGAGGAAACACAAGTGGGCCCAATGCCCACTTGTTTCTCTCTAGATATTTGTATTGTTTCTGAGTTTTTAATCACACACTCATGAGAGAGTGTGGAGTGAAATATTCCCAGGGTAGCTGGGGCAGGATCACCATAAAAACTGCTCCGAAGGATTTTTATTGTATTGACGGGAGAACTGAGGCCTCCAAAGTTGAAAACAAGATGGGGAGGGGCGCCTGCCAAGGAGAGACAGTGCTCATTTAAGTAGAATACAAACCTCAGATATGCCAACCTCAGGTTCACACTCTGCATTGAACATCCTGACACCTACAATCAGAGCTTAATACTGGCAAGATGGGTGGATTCAGAGGTGGCATGTGGCACACTGGGAAGGGAAATGCACAGACTGGTAGGCTGGCCATGATGATCCTATATAATAAAAGCCTAACATGAAAAACAACCAAACGGCAGAACAACTGTGTCACTATGATGCACACTGACCACCAGGGGGCAGACGCTCAATGCAGGAGCTTCCCCCAGGCCCCAGGCCAAGCAAGGCAGGTGCCAGCAGGTCCCCCAATCGCCCCACTGGTAGCCCACAGAGGGAAGTGACCAGTGGTGGCAGCAGGGGGCAGGGCCAACAAGTGGGTGACATGAGGCCAGCCAAGGCAGGTGCCAGTGGGAGGACTCTGATCACCCCACCAGTCGCCTCACAGTTTGGCCCTGATCATCAGCGTGGCCTAGGGACCCTGCCCATGTATGAATTTCTTGCACCAGGCCTCTAATAATGCAATAATCCCAGCAGGATGGAATAAGCTTGGCCCTTAAAATTACCCTTGATAAAAGATATTAACTTTCAAATTCAATAATGTAGTATTTTAAACTATAGGGCAAAGATCTCATAAAACCTACACAGCCCTTTCTCATAAGCAGAAGTGTTAGTTGCACAACCTCTTTATAAGGCAACTAGAGGCCCTGTGCATGAAATTTGTGCATGGGGCAGGGCGGGGGGTGGTTGTCCCTCAGCCCAGCCTGCACCCTCTCCAGTCTGGGAACCCTCTGCTCCCTGTGGCTATAGCCATCTTGGTTGGGTTTATTTGCATACTTGCTCTGATTAGATGGTGAGCATGGCTGGTAGGTATAGCAGAGTGATGGCTAATTTGCATATCACTCTTTTATTAGGTAGGATATTCTCATATTGTTTAAGAAGGGGTATATCTTTGTCCTGGAAACTTCTTTTCTAGGAATTTATAAATATGTAGACTATACACATATAAAATAATATATTTGTATATTATTATACATTTGTAGATCTTATTATATCTTCACACATATATCTTACCTAATAAATAGGGAATATGCAAGCTGACCATCACTCTACCACATAGATGGTGCACCCATACCCACAAGATGGTGGCACCCAGTCTGCCAGAGTTCCCAGGTCCCAGGGGGGCAGCTGCTGAGAGTGGGCAGCATGAGTGGCCTGGCAGAATGCTTGCTTCATTGCTATGGTGACAAGACAAGCATTCCATTCCAGCTGCTGAGGGCCTCTGGGCTGCTGAGAGACTCTGGGTAGTGGGCATGGAGCAGCCAGGGCCTGCAGAGAGCAGAGAACTATGGGGAGTTGGCCTAAGGTATAAGGGCTCCAGGACTGGAGAGGGTGCAGGTCAGGCTGAAGGACCCTTCCCCCGTGCACAAATTTTATGCACTGGGCCTCTAGTATGTTATATAACATGTGTATACTTATATTTGTGCACACAGATTTGTGAAAAAGGAAGTTTATTGCAGCATTATTTATAGTTACAAAAGTCTATCATCAAACTTAAATGTCAATCAATAGGGGACAGCTAGATGATTTACAATAGAGATATAAAATGAAATTCTGCACAGCTATTAAAAAGACTGAATAGATTTACAGGCACTGGCATTCAAAGACCTCACCGATAAAATGGCAAGTGAGGGCTAGCAAGGAGGAGAGGAGAATTTATACACAGTATGTAGCTGTTTGTGTAAAAGACGGACCACCTCGAGAGGAACCTGTAAGAAACTGGGAGGGACAACCTGTGAGCTAGGGTACAGGATAGAGGGGATTCTATTTTTCCCTAGATCTTTGTATTGTTTCTGAGTTATTAATCATATGTAATTACTCTTTATTCTAAAAAAGGTAAATAAATAAATAAGGATTCTTGATCAGGGTGGTGGCAGTGAGTTAAGAAACTGGGGGGGTGTTGCTGAAACCAGTCTGGCTCAGTGGATAGAGCATTGGCCTGCGGACGCAAGGGTCCCGGGTTCGATTCCAGTCAAGGGCATGTGCCTTGGTTGCAGGCATATCCCCAGTAGGGGGTGTGCAAGAGGCAGCTGATCGATGACTCTCTTTCACTGATGTTTCTAACTCTCATCTCTCTCCCTTCCTCTCTGTAAAAAATCAATATAATATATTAAAAAAAAAAAAAAAAAAAAAAAAAAAAAAAAAGAAAGAGAAGAAAACAAAGTGGAGGGTGTTTGGGTTCCAGAAACATTTGAGAGGTTAGCTGTCCAAGGCGTGGCCAAGAATGGAAGAAATGAGGAAAAAAGGGAAGTTGAGATTACAATCAGATTTTTCACTCCAAGGAGGACTGAGAGGAGGAAAGAGAGAGGAAAAGATTGGGAAGGAGAGGTGTGGCTAGTGTGGTTTTGAGCATATGGAGTGGCAAGCTGCAGCGATACAGTCAGCGTTATGACATTTTTCTTTTACATTAAGAGGAACATTCTTTGGATAAGTCTGTTACATGTGGATAAGTGTTTATCTTTGGCTTTCTCTTCTTATAAGTAATTATATCTATTATTCTGCTAATAGGAGGGAAAGATAGGGCAGAACAGTAACACACTGCAGCTTCATGGTTCCTGGTAACTGTGTGTGGGGTAGAAAGCACATACAGGTTATAGAGTTGATTATAGAGTTGATTCTCTGTTCTCCTGTTTCTTTCTCTGCCAGTAATAGGATCTTTCCATTTCCTAAAGTTGCAGCATGCACATTTTTTAAAAATATATACTTTATTGATTTTACACAGAGGAATTGAGAGGGATAGAGAGTTAGAAACGTCGATGAGAGAGAAACATTGACCAGCTGCCTCTTGCACACTCCTCACTGGGGATGTGCCCGCAACCAAGGTATGTGCCCTTGACCAGAATCGAACCCAGGACCCTTGAGTCCGCAGGCTGGCGCTCTATCCACTGAAGCAAACCGGTTTCGGCACAGCATGCATATTTTAAAAAACATATTTTATTGATTTTTTATAGAGAGGAAAGGAGAGGGATAGAGAACTAGAAACATGGATGAGAGAAAAACATCGATCAGCTGCCTCCTGCACACCCCCAATAGGAGATGTGCCCGCAACCAAGGTACATGCCATTGCTCAGAATTGAACCTGGGACCCTTCAGTTCACAGGCCAAAGCTCTATCCACTGAGCCAAACCGGTTTTGTTGCAGCATGCATATTAACAAATGTCCCCAGTAATCCTTACTTTATATCCTCATCGTTGGCAAAAATCACGACGGCCCTGGAGTTGGGGGTGTCCAGGAGCTGTTTGATAATCTTATCGAAGTCGATGGTCCTATCTTTGCGCTCCTGGGGGATTCTCACCGACTGGGCAATGCAGAGCCCACCTGTTTAAGAAAAGAAAGCAGAGTTTCAATCAAATTCCCGAGGACACCACAGAAAGTAACTGGGGAGGAGGGGATTTTGAATTCTGTGTGCACAGCAATTTTTTTAGTGATGTTGCTGAATGAGGAAGTTTTAAGACATTATGCAGAGTCCTGAGTTCATACTTGGTGTACCATCCATGGTATTGTACAGCCTCATACCCTTTGTCAGGCACTTATAAATGGCTAAGTATGCCCAGGGATACCAATCATTGATTCTGGGGAGGTAGGTTGATATTGACAAAGTGGGTGCCAGGGGGTCTTGAAAATGAATGCAATGCCTATAATAAATAAACTAATAATGATAGAAACAGGTCCATCTTATCTCTGTGAATTCTCCAGAGTTTGCATTCCATTACTTTATTTTTTTTTTTCCTTCATACCGGTCCCAACTTTTCAAGCTCAGAGCCAATCAAGTAAGTCTAAAACTAAAACAATGACAAAAACACCACCACCAACTATTATAAATCATAGTAACACATTTTCATTTACCATGTACTATGTGCCAAGCCACAATTGTTTCATGTATGTTACTTCACCTTTAAAATCTTATATCATTAGCCATTTTATGCTAGAAGAGGATTAAATAAATTAATTAATTTACTCCAAATTTCTTGGAGCCAAACTGATATGCAAATATGAAGACAGAAATATGCAGCCATTTCCCAAGCAACCGATACAGGAATGCCCCACAGCACCACTTCTTGCTTATTAGCAGCTCCTGGGTCAAGTACTCTAAATCAGTGTTTTTCAACCTTTTTTGGGCAAAGGCACACTTGTTTCATGAAAAAAATCACGAGGCACACCACCATTAGAAAATGTTAAAAAATTTAACTCTGTGCCTATATTGACTATATATAAAGTAATTCTCTTGAATAGGAATCAAATAAACACAAAGAAAGTATTTTATAATTACTTTATTATGAAATATTAAGTAAACAAAATAGTGAAAAATTATAAAATTCTTGTCTTGTCTGCACCTACGGCACACCAGGCAACATGTGCCGCGAAACAGCGGTTGAAAAACGCTGCTCTAAATCATTCATGGGTCAGAGAGGAAGTGCCAAGGAAAATTAAGAAAATATTTATAACTAAGTGAAAATGTAAGTGCAACTTATTAAAATGCATAGATTAGAGCTAAAGTGGTAGTTAGAGGGAAATGCATATAATTAAATGCTTGCATTAAAGAAAGAAGAATTCCAAACTAAGCAACTGAGGCTCTTAATTCAAGAAATAAGAAAAAGGATATTGTAAACAACTTTATGATAGTATGTCCAGCAGCTGAAATGGAATCATTCCTTAAAAGACATAAACTACCAAAACTGAATAAACAGATAACCAGGCTTGGCCAGTTTGGCTCAGTGGGAGGAGCACTGGCTGAGGGACTGAAGGGTGCTGAATTGGGCTCCATCCCCAGTAGGGGGCGTGCAGGAGTCAGCCAATCAATGATTTCCATCATTGATGTTTCTATCTCTCTCTCCCTCTCATTTTGAAAAAATATATTTTACTAATTTATTTATTTATTTATGTATTTATTTATTTTTTCAGAAAGTAAGAGAGGGATAGAGAGTTAGAAACACCGATGAGAGAGAATCATCAATCAGCTGCCTCTTGCACACTCCCTACTGAGGATGTGCCCACAACTAAGTTACATGCCCTGGACTGAATCGAACCCAGGACCTTTCAGTCCACAGGCCAACGCTGCATCCACTGAGCCAAACCGGTTTAGGCTCTCCTTCTCATTTTTTTTAAAAAAAAGCCTCAATGTTTCTTTTTAAAAAAAGAATGGACAACCCAATTAATCTTATATATATTTAAAAATTCCAAATCCATAGTTTTGGAAAAAAAAATTAATAAGTGAAATATACAGGCTCAGATATTTTCACTGACAGTCTATCCAACAGTTAATAAATAAGTAAAATATAATACCCACAATCCCTTCCAGAAAGTAGTAAAGGAGAGAAAAATCACTCATTTCATAATACAGTATGAAAGACCCAAATCAAATAAAGAGATTACACAAACAAAAAAAATAAAAAAATAAAGATTATACTTGCAAAAATACTAAAAAAAAACAAAACAAAACAAAAAAACCCCAAAATAAATATATCATGAACAAGTTGATTTCATTCAAGGAAAACAAAACAGAATCATTATTGTGCAGTGTTTATTTATAAGTCTAACAAAATATGTCTAGGACCTACATGTTATAAACTATAAATACGGATAAATGAAATTTTAAAATGATTTATATAAAATCTACCTCATCTTATCTATAAATTCAACGCAATTGCAACCAAATCTCAAGCTTTTTGGCCCTGGCCGGATAACTCAGTTGATTGGACCATCTTTTCATATAACAAAATGTTGCAGGTTTTATTCCTGGTCAGGGCACATATCTGAATTGGGAGTTTGATCCCCAGTGGGGACCCATGGGAGTGGCACCTGAGAAATTTTCTCTCACATTCATATCTCTCTCTCTCTCTTTCTCTCTCTCTCTCTCTCTCTCTCTCTCTCTCTCTCTCTCTCTCTCTCTATATATATATATATATATATATATATATATATATATATATATATATATATATATATATATATAATCTACCTCTACCTCTACCTCTACCTCTACCTCTACCTCTACCTCTCTATCTCTATCTCTATCTCTATCTCTATCTCTATCTCTGTCTCTGTCTATCTAAGAAAATATCAATGAACATATGCTCAGGTGAGGCTTAAAAAAAATCTCAAGCTTTTTCAAAATATAGCAACCCCTAATTCTAACTTTTATCAGAAAGGCAAAAAAGAAACAAACCACAGCACAGTTGACAGGTACTTACAGATCCATTAGAGGCCCAGTGCATGAAATTTGTGCACTTGGCATTGGGGGGAGGTTCCCCTTAGCCTGGACTGCACCCTCTAGCAGTCCAGGAGCCCTCCAGGTAGAGGGCCTAAGCTAGCAGTCGGACATCCTTAGCATTGCTGCAGAGGCTGGAAAGGCTCCCTCCACTGCCACTATGATTGCCAGCCATGAAGTCGACTTCTGGCTGGTCAGCACTCCCCCTGTAGTGCACTGATCACCAGGAGGCAGCTCCTGCATTGAGCCTGTCCCCTGGTGGCCAGTGCACATCATAGCAACCAGTCGTTCTGCCTTCAGGCGGAAACCTGCTCTCCAACATCCCTCAAGAGGTCCGGGATTGTGAGAGGGTGCAGACCAGGCCAAGTGACCCCACTGGTGCGCAATTGGGGCCAGGGAGGGATGCAGGAGGTTGGCCAGCCAGGGATGGACTGCAGGAGGGCTCCAGGGTGTTTCCAGCCCATCTCATTCAGTCCCAATTGATTAGACCCCAGCAGCAAGCTAACCTACCAGTCAGAGCATCCGCCCTCTGGTGGGCGAGCCATTGAACAGCCTTAGCATAACATTAGCATATTATGCTTTGATTGGTTGAATGGCCAGCTGGATAACTGGACACTTAGCATATTAGGCTTTTATTATACTGGATGGAACAGAAAAGAGGTCCAGAAATAGACTCACATAAATGAAGTCAACTGATTCTTGGCAAAGTGCAAAGGAAATAAATGGGGAAATGATAGTCTTTCCCATAGATGCTGAAACAATTGGGTATCCATATGCAGAAGTAATGAATCTTGACATATAACTCATACTGTACCCAAAAATTAACTCCAAATGGATGATAGACCTAAGTATAGAATCTGAAACTAGAAAACTTTTAGAAGAAAATGGAAACTCTGTATAACTTTAGGTTTGGCAGTAAGTTTTTGGATATGACAAAAAAAAAAAAGCTTAATTGATACATAAAAAATTGATGAATTGCATTTTATAAAAATTTAAAACTTTTTTTCTATGAAAAATAGTATTAAGAAAATGAAAACAAAAGCTAGAGTCTGGGGGTTGAGGAATTACCATAACATATAAAGCACTCTTAAACTCAGCAGTGAAAACTTAACAACAACAATGAACCTCAAAATGGGCACACCATCTGAACAGACATAAGAAAAGATACAGAGATGGCAAATAAGCACACAAAAAGATGCTCAATATCAGTTATTAGGGAAATGCTGGTAAACAATAATTTATCACTGCAAACCTATTAAAATTACATTTTGATTTTTTTAAAGCTAACAATGCCAAATGCTAGAGAAAATGCAAAGCAATAGGAATACTTGTTCATTGCTGATGGGATTGCACAATGGTACAGCCACTTTGGAAAATGCCTCAGCCTTCCAAAAATGGTAAACACAGAATTAACATGCCAAGCAGAAGTTCTAATCCTAGCTGTTTATCCAAATGTATTGAAAACTTATGTTCACACAAGTGCACTCATAAATGTTTATAACAACTTTATTCATAATCACTAAAACTGGAAATAGCTAAGACATCTGTCGACAGGTGAATGGATAAACAAACTGTGGTACATCCACAATAGAGTACGCCTCAGCAACAACAAAAGAACTATTGATTTGTGGAAGAACATGAGTAAATATTAAATGCATTTTTCCATGTGAAAAAAATCAAATGAAAAAGACTGCATAATGCAGAATTCTGTTCATAGGACAATCTAGAAACAAACAAACAAACAGAGGGATGAAAAGTAGATCAGTGGATGCCAGGGGTTGGGAGAGAAAGGAGGGGTTGACTAAAAGGGACCAACAAAGGGTTTCGCGGTATGGAAATATTCTGTGTGTTCCTGTGGTGGTAGACACCTGACTGTAACTTACCAAGAACAAACCACAATAATTCAACTTTAGTTCTTGAAAAAAATTTAAAAATCCATCAGCATATCAAAGAACCCCAGAATGGAATGCAGACTGTGACAAGTGAACTCTAATTGTATTTAAAATGTATGGGGAAATTTCACTGAAGGAGATGAGTAAAAAGGAGTTGACCTAAATAACTGGGGAAGAAAATGATGTTTGACTGGAAACTCTAAGACTAAAGAGAAAAA